TACCTTATCTGACTTATTCTTACCTGATTCTTCCTTACCTGAGTCAATCATTTTGTAAATGAATGACATAAATATAACGTGTACTAGTAAAACAACTGATAAGGTATAAAAGTATGATTGGGTCAATCCCTACCAACACAAACCCAACAGTGTAATACTATATACATGAACTAATCTATGATACAGTGTATTGGATAACTGGTAAGAATTCTTTGATTGGGTCAGTCCCTGCCAACAGACACATGCTCCAAATGTAACAGTAATGTATCAATAACACTGTATATATCTAGGAACAATGTACAAAAGTGTTCTATATAAGTCTTTTTACCCACACTCTGGCTAACATTGGTCCGGGATGTACTCCATCCAAATACAATTGAAAATTCAATGAAACTCTTTGAGATTTGTTTTTCTCTTTTCTATACTTCAAAACATCTAGCTTATACCTTGGACTATGAACAGATAATTTGTCATTGACTTCCCTTAAATGAAAATTAATGAAATTGATAACTTCAATCAAAACTTTGTCCTGAGCAAGAAAACAATTATTACAATGGATTACAATGTCCTCTGCTTTTATTCCATTTTGCTATAGAATAACGGGGAATTTCCAAAAATATGAGTTTAACTCCCTTAAATTCTCTGACAATTGAATGAAAACTATCTATATGGTGAACAACATTCTCTACAATAGACTGAGAATCATCAGTAACTAAAGAAATAACCTTACCAAATTTTCTTGTGATGTCACATGTACCCAGCCAAATATACAACGTCAAATGGCCGTACTTTTCCAAAAGAGCACGTAAATTGTAATTTAACCAACAGTAAAAATCTGTAAATTGAGCACCAGGTCTACATTCAAAATGCAAGAGTTGAAGAAATTCTTTTAATAGATCTAAATGTTTTTTCAGGTAGTTACCTAAACTTGTACTAATCAATACGGGTTGACTAACTAATTTCTTCTTATCTACTGATTTATCTAAATAATTCTGTAATTTACTATTACTCATTAAAAATCAAAGCTAATTAAAGTAAATCAAACTTCTTAAGCAAATAAATACAAACAAAATACAAATGTAAGTTTTGTTTTAAATTCTGCTAATTCCTGGTAATCTGGAATATAGAAAACACTAACTATATATCTGAAATTGCTACCCCAGTATCGCGTACGTAATCTGATATATAAAACTGAAAATACTGCAAGCAATGTATCAGGAACCTGTAAATCAAATGATATATACTATCTAAAAACAAAATACAATTCAATAAAATTAGTCAAATATTAGCAATGTCAATATAATGACTATGATGAATGAAATGAATGATATAAATGATGATTTTAAACTGTGTCAATCAAACACGCAAGTAGTGTAAGTGTCTGTCCACCCCTCAAATATACATAATTAATGACTATAGATTTGCATAATTAATAAATTAATTAATTGAATTATCGGAAAATCCATTAATGGTACTCATATTCATTGTTATTTATTTGGATAATTAATGAAGTTCATTAAAGGTAATTATCGGACAGGTGTTAATTAGAACAGCTGGTAAATGAATATTGTTTTTTTTTAAATGTAAATAATTGAGGAAGTGATAATAATAAGAATTCCTATACATAGAAGACATAGAAAAAATGGCTGACCAATCCAATCGATAAAAAAGTGGGTAATATAACACCATACGACAATTGAGGTCTTTTTTTTAATTAATGATAATTCAAGATTTCTTTTTCCCAATTATTGGGATTGTCAAACTAATACAAGAGTAAGAAAGAAGATTTGTTTTCCTTTTAAAAAGAAATGACTCCAGTTTTCGAAAACAAACAAATTCTCTTTGTCTTTTCTTTCATTTTGTTAAAGAAAAAATATCCTTGAATGATCGTCACTGGGTTTTAAATATTTCCTCTTGTACTTGTACACTTTTGTCCTTGTTTTCAGCTCGTTTTAAGTATCATTATATATGAATATGACATAAAACAGATTTCCCATTTTTTTTTTAATTTATATGAAAAGAACGTTACATTTATAGCACGCACACACACACACACACACACATGCAAATTAAATTCTATTAACTTAGATAAAACTATACATCGGCAAATGTTCACTAAAAATTACAAACAGACATACAGATACGCAAACACAAAATAAGCTAGGAGTTTTTGTCATTAATATTATTTCAAAATAACATTTTTTTTTCGCACGAAGAAATGTCATAGAAGGTTATATAAAAACACACCAGTAAAAGTTGATTAAAAAAAATTTAAACAGACAGGCAAACACAAAATCACAAATCACTCATGACCAAAAAAAAGTTGTTGGCTCGAAAAATGTTCCAGGTGAGACACAGTATAAACGAGAACTCAGTGGGTCTTTTTTGTAGCCACCGGACATACACGTATGGAAGCCTCTTTAATTTTTCGAAATGTGGTACTGTGAGCTGAAAGGAATCAAAAAAGAAAATATTAAGGAATAATATTATCAATAATTCGTATTTTTGGTTACATAATGAAATTAAATAAGGTAAAGAAAGACAGCTCTGGATTAATTTTTTTTCATTTTGAGACAGATAAAGATAGAGGGGGGATGAAATAATGCACTTACGGTGGAATGATGATATCCACCTCTTCCTCCTCTTCCTTCTCTTCATTTTTCTTTTCCTTCTCTTCGTTATCTTGGTCTGTTGAATCCAAGCTGAAAATGAAAATAGAAGGAAAATATATTTCATCGTTCAGATTTTAGAAAAAAGGGGGGATATAAAATTAATACGAGAAAAACTTACAAGGGGTTGAGGAGGAAGCCCTCATCTTCCGAAAATGACATCGGTTCCTCACTAAACAATAAAGATTATGTATAAAAGTCATAATTTTCAATATTCAGACATCAAGGGAAAAAGGATTGAAATCCATAATTGAAATATTTACAATGCTTTTAATTTTAATTCGACGTCTGGAAAAAAAATAAAGTTTTCAACTCACTTTGAATCGATGTATATAGGGAAATTTTTTGACCTGAAGATGAAAGTAACTTATATTTAATACGGTTATTTATTTGAGAAGAAAAGAAAAAATAATAACATGAATATAAAATGAATGAAAAAAAGAATTAAAATGTCTAACCCTATAGGGGAAATATGGGTCAAATATGACCCACACTGGTCTAAAATTCTCCTCGCTGGCTTAAAAAAATGGGGGAAAGAAAACTAAATAATTTAATTAAAATAATAAAAATAAAAAAGATCATTTTTTTAACTTTTGGTACCGGTTTGTTAATTGTTTTAAATCAAAAACCAAAAAGAATTTACTTACCATTGCCTTCTTGGTGCCATAGGTGTTGGATTCTGATTGTTTCTAAATGAAAAGGATTGGGTGTTTTTATGAAAATACTTATTATATAGGGTAAAATTTCATTAAAAAAGACTTAGAATTGTATTTTACGATAAAAGTTTAATAATAAGAAGGAAAAAATATGCACTGTACGGTAGTTGAGGTCATCTGCTGATGACACCGTCTATAGTTATATAAATTTAAAAAAAAATCAGTGATAAAAATGTTTGATTTTGATTATAAATGGGGTGAATATCATTCATCACAAAAATAGATGTTGAAGTATTGAAAGATAAAATTAGAGAGGAATAAAAATAATCATAAATTTAGGAAAATAAAGTAAAAAAAAAGACACTTACTGGCATGATAGTCTTTCTAATAATCTACGTATTTCTGTCAAGTGTAACTCTATCTGCACCTTTTCAATACAGTAACTGAAACATTTGAATTTGAAAACATTTATATTAATTTGAAAAAAAATCCCCCCCCCCCCCCCGCTTTTAGTGCCTTACTTGTGATGTACATGTGAAATATGAAAGTCATATCTCTTCTAGCACTCAAAAGCTATGATTAAGTTGAAGTGTTTATATGACAGCTATTTTCTCCGAACATTTAGACTAATGAATGGGTCAGACGGATGAGTTTTAAGGAGGGGGAGGGGGTGTGGGGACAACAAATTAAACATAAGATATGATATCTTAAGACAACGACTATCATTTGACTAAGAAAATTTCATAGATTTTAGTTTTAATATTTATATTTGATCATTTTTTTCTTGCGTATCTTTTTTTTTCTTTTTGAATTCTTCTTCTACAGAAGATAAAATAATCTAAAAATGCCCACAACTCCCAGACCCTCTTATGTTAGTAGTAAGGGGGACAGTACACAGTCAGTATACAGTCAAGATGACGTCATGGGGTTTTCCAGACCCCACCCACATAGGTCATAATTGAGGTCATAGTCAAGGGGTGAGTACACAGTCAAGGATGGGGGGTATACAGTCACTGACTGGATAGAATAATTCACAGTCAAGAAGAGTCTTCATTCATCGATGCAATTACTGGAAAATCAAGGCTACACTCATAAAGTTCATAACTTTTCACCCAGTAACAGCTAATTTTATTTTTGGAATATATTAACTACCATACACTTAACAACAGTCAGCAGTTCAGACTAAATTTACCATCTGCAGTCTGTTGGTGATCCAAGAGCTATAGGTATACCTAGAGACAGTGTATAATGAACACCAATTTTAAGATGATAGATTGGTTCAAACGCAACAGCTGTATCCACAGTAACAGTATAAGGGTATAACTAAATTTAGAATTGCCATCTGTATCCACAGTAACAGTATAAGGGTATAACTAAATTTAGAATTGCCATCTGTATCCACAGTAACAGTATAAGGGTATAACTAAATTTAGATTTACCAACCGTAACTAAGAATCCTTCTCAATAGGGTCACACCCTATACAAAGTATAAAAAGTCCAAAATCTGTTAGTATTTGTACAGTCACTTCTTTCGTCAGAAGAACAACCATTCAGCAACCTAATGTAGTAAATTGGTAGTTGTAAGCTTTTTTTCAATAAACTCTCTTAGATTTAATAAAACAACACCATATTTATGATTTATTATGTATTATACATGTACATCTTCATCTTATACAACAAGATATAAAAGTGTTAATTCTCAGTAAAAATTTTTATATGTTATGATATGTAAATTAAACACACGTGGATATTTTGAACACAGTCTCTAATAATCTACCCATAAGTAAAACTGATACACAGGTCCTTGGACAACAATTTACAAGGTCATAAATGTTACTCTTTTCTGGTGCGACTTCTGCAACTGATTCTCCAAATAATTCATGATAATTTTTATTTGTGCAACATCCTTGGTAACTCTTTCCAGAAGTGTAATCATCAATATCATCTGCTCTTCACAGTTCTGGACAGATTTTAACGGCTCCCTCATCCGTTTTTCTAATTGTTGATGTTTCTCTGGATTTCTTCGCCTACAATTAACATGAATAAAAACGTTATTTACTAAGTTTACTTTTTAAATTACATAGATGGTTTCCGGGGAATTACTTTTCCTATGTATTAACTTTGCAATAGTGTAAATACAATGGTAATCAAGGTAATAGTTAAGTAATTAGAAAAATGAAAAAAAAAAAGATATAAACTTGGTGTTTACTTAAACAAAAGAAGAAAAAAAGGTATTAATTTATTACCGTAGGTGGTCAAAACGGAGTCCTCTACATCGCGAAATGATAAGGGCTCCTCATCAATCACCAATCCAGAATTCAATGTTGGTGGGTAGTTTGAGTCGTCGGCAGGGGAATAACTATTTGGACTTTCAACTGCTGGTGCGTAGCTGCCATGAAAGTTTAATTCACTTTCAGGGATGGGGGTTAAGGGTCTAAATAAGAGAAAATATAACATTTAAGTTTCATTCTGCTTACGTTAAACAACTTTAAAAGTAGAAGCAGTAATTTTCCTTTTTTTGTATTGAAAGCAGTTTTTTAAATGAAAGACTATATACGCATTATTAAAAAACATTTGAAAAATATCCCGTATTTACAATTACAGTTATATATGTTCGTGTTTAAATCAATTATTTTAACCTTTGAAATGGTACGCTCAAAGACGAATTTTCAGACTCATTTACTACAGGTGTTGTTGCTCCTATGAGTTGCAATGTGGAGTGGTAACTTGGAGAGGGAGGGGATGGAATGTTACTTTAATGAAGAGAGACAAAAAATGTAAAAAATAAAATACGTATAACATTTATTTATTAAAGAAAATGCACTAGTCTTTAACTAAAGCAAATAGGTTTCATCTTGTGGGGAACGAAATAGAATGATTTGAACATATTTTATTGTAATATAATTACAAAAGGGGTTGAGAGGGAAATGTCATCTAAGGAGTTAAAACAGTAAATGTCGTTAAAAACTTATAACGTAATTTGAGGATAATGTTTTGAAAAGTTGCACTTACGGAGGTGGAAACGCAGTCTTTTCCAACTCCTCCCCCATTTTGACCCACAATTCCTCAAACTTCGCAAAGGATTTTGCTGATTTTGTTGCGTCACTGTGATAAAAAATGTATAATTCAACTCTACGAGCAAACAATTGTTTTTCTTTTTAAATTATTATTATTAATCCAAATCAGAAATTTACTAGTTAAAATTATATTATACAAATCTTGCATCTCGTATTTTGTACAACCTTATTAAACAATGTAATTTTGTTTCATTCAGAACCTTTGAATAAGTTTCTAACACAAATATAAAAAAAAAATAAAAAAAAAAACATACTTTGTGTTGGCATTGAAATAATAATAAAACAAAAATTTCTCATACCAAATTGTAAAAGTTCTATTAAAACTTTAAGGGAAATCAAAAAATATAATTCAAATATTTTATTCTTAAAATCGCAATTTTTTAAAAAAATATTTACATATAGAATTAAAAGAATAAAATTAACTTAAAAAAAAAAAAACAACCTGTATTTCAAAGATATTTTATGGTTATACTTTTTTAATATTCAACCGTCAGACAAGAAGTTTCTGGGAAATTTCTATGTTATGAAATATATATATTTAAATTGGCAGTGATATGATTTTAGATCATTTTTTCTTCGGTGAATAACTAAAGTTATGTTTAATCAATATCTAAAAAATATTTAAACTTTTTTACTTACAAAAAGTCAAGGAATTCTTCTGCCATGTTGTCAATTTTCTGTCAAAGATAATTCACTTTGTAACTACATTTTTTTTTATATACCCTGAGAAGGAATACACGTGGGTAGGGTATTTAGACATAAAAAGATGGAACATCACGATTTTACGGAGGTAGAGGATCAGTCCCACCCCTCTAAAAACACTTCAATTCTATATTTGGGTGTGAAAGCTTGAGACTTGGGATAAATAATTAGGTTTACGTCATGTGCCTGTTGATCAGAAAAATAAATGGTGCAGAAATGTCCTTTTAAAAATACCGCTCTAAATCGTGACATACCTGCGTGGTTAGTTCACGCATACCTGTAAGCATTTCAACATAACCTGACCTAGTTATACTGAGTAAGTGTAGAGTGCTGCATACTTTAATTCGGCACCTTGATTCAAAAATTCTGATTTTGTATCTCACACATTTCCAAGAGCAGTATAGCTTATACGATACAAAAAAAAGATATCTTACAATATGAACATCGATGAAACGACATCAATAAGTTACAATGATAACAATTTGAGAATAGGAACCCAGTACGTAACGTGTCCTAGCATGACCTGGTATTGGTACTTTAATTAATGGTCAACACGTCTTTTAACTACTGGTATATTAGTATTATCCAGACGATAATAATTACATGTGTTTTCTCTATTGAAGTAATTAACAGTGATTTCTATTCATTGATACCATGTTGTCTTTAAACATTTTTCCCGGGAGTAAATGCCACGCACCATACATTGAAAATTAAATAAATAAGCTTAATATTAACTCCTTTATACTATATATTTTTCTCAATGTCCAAAAAAATCACTTGTATAGAAAGGGTCCTTAAACACAATTACAACGGTAGGTGTCCATATATCAATTGAAAGTAAAATAAGACAACATGGCTTGTCAGGCTGATCAGAATTTACCTGATAATAACCATGACGAATGACTTTTTATATAAAAAATTTAAATGCATCTTTACATATTTTACTGTGTTTATAATTCTAAGGAGAATACTTATAATAATTATTTTATAGTTAATGAAAAAAGGGGGGGGGGTTATCTGCACTCTGTGAGTGAAGGAGATTATTGTTCACACAGCAACAAAACTTTGTATTATGCTGAATATGTACGTCTACACTTGTTAAGGGGATTGAACATTATACATCATCACCATGTCCAACGTTTAGCGAATTAAAAGATATGCGAGGATAAAATAGGGCTACGGGCCCTGACATACACATGACCTGATATGAACTTTTGCATGAAAAAGGGTCTTTGCATACATTAAATAATTATGATGACAGAAAGAACACATTGTGATACCCGCACTGTCATTTTTACTGTTGTTATTAATTACCCCCCCCCCCCCTCCCTTCAGAAACAAATAATCAATCACCCCTCCCATATAATGAACTGCTCTTACTTCCCGTCACATGACCAAAAGCTCGTGCAGTATTCGCGCCAGAAGTCCGCAGCTCGGTGGAGAAATGTGCATCCAGAAAATGTTACGAGCTGCGCTGTTCATTGTGATTTTCGGGTGTGTAATGACTTACAATCATGATTGTCAAATGTGTATCGGAGAGTTTGGCGTATTTAATTGTCAAAGTCCACGTTTCTCCAAATGCGCCGTTATTCATGGAACAGAAAGTACAATTCTTGAAATTCGGCTTTTCAATTGCGATGTCTGGATAATACCAAATGGATGGTCCCCGGATTTTCCTGTTAATATTAGAGATGGCAATGCAAAGATCTGTGAAGGTGAGTACTTTCGACCACTACAGCCTCTTTCCGTTTTTCGGGGAAATTTTAGTGAAAACGGACCGATAGAATACGGAGAAGACGTAGTATTTTAATTTTGGAATGTGTTTTGATATTTAATTACGTAATTTAATCTTAACTTACTCTTAAAGTTTTCGGTAAAATATGAACAAATTAATTACACACGTTTTCATTCTTAAACTGTGGCTAGTATCAAAGCCGATCACAAAATAATGTTCTCTTAAGATCGGGTTCGGGATGTGAAAATTGGAAGTTTGGAAACGTTCCCTTTGCTAGATAGGAAAGAGAGCACCAAATCCCCGGATGAACACATGGCTTTGTTTGTTATGGAACATTAAACCGAATACTGAATGGGTAGGCGTTACGCCATTGGCTGAAATCAGGTATTTAATTGTTTTCATTTTAAAGTAAAATTAATGACCTTTGAAATAAATGATGGGATGAGGGAATATTACAGAAACTATAGAAATACCAGGGAAGATTTTAGGAGTGGGGGTTGATTTTTTATGCCGCGTGTTATTTACTGCGAATCTCTATAAGTTGAAAATAACTGCAATTTTGACCTATAAACGCCATGGGACCATATATTTTTTTCAGTATTTTTTGTTAGGGCTTAGAACAAAGTTTGAAATGATGCTAAAGATTTTTCTGAAATTGTCATAGTAAAGTACTGAGAGGGCTTAAGGTTTGTATGGAGTTCTATGGGAAAATAATTAGTGGTCTTTTCCCTATAGAGACCCCAATTTTTACAATTTAAAGTGATTTGAAAGTCATGAAATGTTATTTTTTGCTAATTATTTGAAGATTGATGACATTTCGAGAGAAAATTTAGCAAAAATTTGAATTAGTTTACTGCGGTAATGGGGTTAGAGGTGATTTGGGTCTTTTAAAGAGAGGAGGGGGGGGGGGTAAGAGAAGATAGAAGTTAGTAAAGTCCTGTACAGTTGACATGGTCAAAGGAGGAAGGTAAGTTAAGAAAATGTATTAAATTGTTCTTAAGATGAATGATTGTATGTATGCATAGATTTATGTATGTATTTTGCATGTACATGTGACTGTGTATTTATTATGTTTTGCTCTATCTGTGTATATTATGGAAGTGTAGGACAGTGACCTGGTGTTCATTTTTTTTCGTTTCCTAGACTTTTGCATTTTTAGCAGTTTTTCAAATAATTAAGGTGGCACATAAAAGGAATTTTTGTTACGGACAAGTGAAAGGAGGACATTTTCTGTCTTGTCATCTCATGTTTGGTAGTGTATGTGTTCCTCTGGATTGCCCCCCCCCCCTTTCTTGGCTGCAGGGTGATCAGTTTGTAGTTTTTTTTTGTTTCTATGTTGTAGCTACACAAAGGTCTATGTTTTCTCTTTTTTCGCTCTTCGTAGTTTCCTCAGAATTACTCGCTGCGACTCACTCTCTAATGGTTTCTAGTTCTTGTACTTAGAGTTACTTCCCTTAGACCTGCTGACCAGACAGGTGGAATTTCAACATGATGATATCTTAACAGTTGTGACCTTTGGCTTCTGATTTTTTTTCATAAATTATTGTAATGACCTTGAACTGCATGTATGACATTTGAACTTTATTATATTTACATGTAATATTATGTAATATTGAAAAAACATGTATTCCACCCTTGGCGGCTCCATTTTTCATACATTTAGCTATGTAGAAGACATGTAATTAAGGAAATTTTTATAAAACTTGAAAAATATTGTTGTTTCTTTCATGATTTATGCTTAATTTGACTAATTTTATTGATTTATTTTCATTTAAGCACTTTAGAGGAATTTCATCTTTCAGCTTTCTTGGCCCCGGGAGTGTTCGGTCTCTGATCAGCAGGGGCATTTTCTCTACATAAGAAGAAAATGGAGATTCCCTACCCACCTGATGTATTTTGTCGGACAGTTTTCTGTACATTGCAGGTAATTTTTTTATTTATTAACTTTCCAGCCTATTATTGTATAGTACATTTTGGGGGTTGAAGTCAGTTTTTGCTTTTCTTTAATTTTTAAAAAAAATTATTTAAATTCTCCTTTTCTTAGCATAAAATTCAAAAAGTAGCTTCTGATTGTAATGTATAAGACTACAGACATTGAACTTTGATTTGTTATCAAAAGGATTGATTTAAACTTGTCTAAATTAATTGTAAACAAAAATAAAAGGGGGCACCTGTTATTTCTTTAAGTGTTTTTCACTGGGGGGTGGGGAAACTTTTTTGTACATACTTAAGCAATAGGAGGGATTAGATAAGAATCAATTAGTATATCAGAGTCTTAAATAATTTACTTTGCATAAGCATAAAAAAATTCTATATCAGTCTTTTTAAAACCTTTGAATTTTGCTTAATTAACTATGATTTATCCAATTTTGGAGCTTTTTACCTAATTCTGGGTAGAATCCACCCTTATGAAATTATTGACTCAATTTTGACTTCATATCACTTTATTAACATTAAAACACAAAAACAATTCATTGTACAAATATTTTATTTATTACAGTCTCCAATATATCCAAATATCATCACCGCCCCAGACGTCATTCACTCCATTGAATTGTGCTGGAAGCAGTAAGGTATCATCATTTGAGATGGTCACAGTATCCAATACAGTGAAGTCACAGGACTCAAATTTCATACATGTTCACAGGTAGGTGTATAGTCTTTGAAATTACCACAATTGACTAATTCTGAGATAGGTAAGTATGTGAGTATAGGAAAGAGAGCACCAAATCCCCGGATGAACACATGGCTTTGTTTGTTATGGAACATTAAACCGAATACTGAATGGGTAGGCGTTACGCCATTGGCTGAAATCAGGTATTTAATTGTTTTCATTTTAAAGTAAAATTAATGACCTTTGAAATAAATGATGGGATGAGGGAATATTACAGAAACTATAGAAATACCAGGGAAGATTTTAGGAGTGGGGGTTGATTTTTTATGCCGCGTGTTATTTACTGCGAATCTCTATAAGTTGAAAATAACTGCAATTTTGACCTATAAACGCCATGGGACCATATATTTTTTTCAGTATTTTTTGTTAGGTCTTAGAACAAAGTTTGAAATGATGCTAAAGATTTTTCTGAAATTGTCATAGTAAAGTACTGAGAGGGCTTAAGGTTTGTATGGAGTTCTATGGGAAAATAATTAGTGGTCTTTTCCCTAGAGGTTGTTTACCGGAAGTAAACTTTTTCTTTGAATGTTGTAGATTACCGACACTTCAAGACGGTGGAATCCAACACTTTAGAGCCATTTACAAGTCAAGTTACTGTTACGAATGAAGGTAATACATTTTTATGATTATCATGCTTGTTAGTAAATGAAAATCTCTTGTTTTGTTATTTAATAGATCTAAAAGTCTCTGATGTAATTTTTCAGAACTGAAACGACCAAAAACTCAATAGATTGAATATAAATATATTAATCCAAAATTATTATTTAAAGATTAAAAAAGTTAGGTTTTTTTTTTTTTCTTACAAGAGAAAAAAAACAAAATAGTAACCACCTATGTGTAAAAAATCTACTGTAGATGTGTCTAATGAAGATTAACATGTAAAAAAAAACTCTGATCACTCGAAGTCCCTAGACTAAACGAACCACTCATTACCTTAGTCCCTCTCATATTAATGTATCATATATTATCAAATATTTAAAAGTAATACAAAAGTGTCAGTCAACAACATTTTACTGACATGTACATATAAACATTTTACTGACTGATTGAAATTAATTTTGCAACATGAAATATGGGTATTACAATGTTATATATATAACCCGTCATAAGATTATGATTACCTCAAGGGCTCCAGCAAGGCAAGCCCTGCTTACAGATAGGCCAACAACCCGTCGGAAGATAATGATTACCTCGATAGTTCCATCAAGGCAAGCCCTGGTTACAGATCGGCCCACAACTAGTCGGAAGATAATGATTATCTCGATAGTTCCATCAAGGCAAGCCCTGGTTACAGATCGGCCCACAACTAGTCGGAAGATAATGATTACCTCGATAGTTCCATCAAGGCAAGCCCTGGTTACAGATCAGCCCACAACTAGTCGGAAGATAATGATTACCTCGATAGTTCCATCAAGGCAAGTCCTGGTTACAGATCGGCCCACAACTAGTCGGAAGATAATGATTACCTCGATAGTTCCATCAAGGCAAGCCTGGTTACAGATCGGCCCACAACCGGTCAGATATTAAAGACCGTAAAGGCATCAAGAAAAGGTTAGTCAACAGTTGTCTTGTAATAGAAAATTGATAATTATGTATACTAAATATTTATTACAAGTATTCATATATTAATTTGTTTTACGTTAGGATCCCATGATAACGAAGATGATGATGATGACTAGATGTTTGTTATTCCCACAGCCACAGGTCAGCATATACTATAGTCATTCTGTTGTGTATTAATGTAGGACTTTGTATTTGTACTTTAGCAGGTATATTTATTTCCATCAAAGATGTTATTAAAAAACACATATGTAAATCTAAAATAAACAAAACATCATTTAGAAAACAAATATTTCAAAGACGGAAAATCTATAAACCACATAAACAGTAGAAACTTCCTTCTGCATCTGAAATAGAATTAAACAGAGTGAAAACTATTTCTTCCAGTCCAAAACTTGCTTCTAAGCATATACCGTCTTTTGCTAGGCCATCTACATGTATATGACCATATTTTATAGCTTTGGATAATGTATCCTCTAATCTACATGCATACACTACAAGTGATTCTCCCTCTTTTTGCATATCATTAATAAAGATTGCATAAGAGTTTCCCCTGAAGCAACACTTCCAAAAAATTCATCTCGTTTGGTTAGAATATCTTTCAGAGAAGCATTTTCTCCAATAGACACTAACATTGATCGGGCAAGCCCTTTCAGTGAATTTCTTACCGACTGTAATAAAATGTGCTCCAGGTACTGACCTGAATTTTGAAGACTTTTGACCTCAAAGTTCCACACTTCATATTTTACCTCACGTTGCTTGGAATCATCAGCACCACTAAATGTTGGTTACTTTGGAAAGTCGTATTGGGTGCTAATTGTACATGTAGGGGTAGGAGGGACATCTTGTGTCTTTGGAAAATCAAAATGCACCGGTTTACCTGCACTATGTAAGACTTTTTCCATTGTTGTTTAACTAAAGGGGTACTAGTTTTACCATGCTTTAAACTAGCATTTACTAAAAGATCATACTCTTCCTTAGTTAAGACTCTGTAGTTTGGATCTTTTTGTACCTCAGATATGTGATGCTGTAAAGAACTTGCACCTGTGTCCTCCTTTCTTACTATTTTAGCTGATGACATCTTAGTCGTTTCTTTACCTGATTCTTCCTTACCTGATTCTTTCTTATCTGACTTTTTCTTGTCTGATTCTACCTTATCTGACTTATTCTTACCTGATTTTTCCTTACCTGAGCCTGCCATTATGTAAATGAATGACAGAAATATAACGTGTACTAATAAAACAACTGATAAGGTATAAAAGTATGATTGGGTCAATCCCCTACCAACACAAACCCAACAGTGTAATACTATATACATGAACAAATCTATGATACAGTGTATTGGATAACTGGTAAGAATTCTGTGATTGGGTCAGTCCCTGCCAACAGACACATGCTCCAAATGTAAAAGTAATGTATCAATAACACTGTATATATCTAGGAACAATGTACAAAAGTGTTCTCTATAAGTCTTTTTACCCACACTCTGGCTAACATTGGTCCGGGATGTACTCCATCCAAATACAATTGAAAATTCAATGAAACTCTTTGACATTTGTCTTTCTCTTTTCTATACTTCAAAACATCTAGCTTATACCTGGGACTATGAACAGACAATTTATACCTGGGGCTATGAAAGGATAATTTGTCATTGACTTCCCTTAAATGAAAATTAATGAAATTGATAACTTCAATCAAAACTTTGTCCTGAGCAAGAAAACAATTATTACAATGGATTACAATATCCTCTGCTTTTATTCCATTCTGCTATAGAATAACGGGGAATTTCCAAAAATATAAGTTTAACTCTGACAATTGAATGAAAACTATCTATATGGTGAACAACATCCTCTACAATAGACTGAGAATCATCAGAAACTAAAGAAATAAACTTACCAAATTTTCTTGTGATGTCTCATGTACCCAGCCAAATATACAACGTCAAATGGCCGTGCTTTTCCAAAAGAGCACGTAAATTGTAATTTAACTAACAGTAAAAATCTGTAAATCGAGCACCAGGTTTACATTCAAAATGCAAGTATAGATGAAATTCTTTTAATAGATCTAAATGTTTTTTCAGGTAGTTACATAAACTTGTACTAATCAATACTGGTTGACTAACTAATTTCTTCTGATCTACTGGTTTATCCAAATATTTCTGTAATTTACTATTACTCATTAAATATCAAAGCTAAGTAAAGTAAATCAAATTCTTTAAGCAAATAAATACAAACTAAATACAAATGTAAGTTTTGGTTTAAATTTAAATTAAATTCTGCTAATTCCTGGTAATATGGAATATAGAAAACACTAACTATATATCTGAAATTGCTCCCCCAGTATCGCCTACGTAATCTGAAATATTAAAACTGAAAATACTGCAAGCAATGTATCAGGAACCTGTAAATCAAAGGATATATACTATCTAAAAACAAATTACAATTCAATAAAATTAGTCAAGTATTAGCAATGTCAATTTAATAACTATGATGAATGAAATGATTGATCTAAATGATGATTTTAAACTGTGTCAATCAAACACGCAAGTAGTATAAGCGTCTGTCCACCCCTCAAATATACATAATTAATGACTATTAATTTGCATAATTAAAGAATTAATTAAGGTGAATTATCGGAAAATCGATTAATGGTACTCATATTCATTGTTATTTATTTGAATAATTAATGAAGTTCATTTGAGGTATTTATCGGACAGGTGTTAATTAGAACAGCTGGTAAATGAATATGGGTTTTTTTTTTTAAATGTTAATAATTGATGAAGATATGAGTGATAACAATAAGAATTCCTATACATAGAAGACAAAAAAAAAGGCTGACAGATCCAATCGATAATAAAGAGTGGGTAATATAATACCATACGACAATTGGAAGTCTTTTTTTTAATTAATGATAATAAAAGATTACTTTCTCCTAATTATTGGGATTGTCAAACTCACGAGAGTAAGAAAGAAGATCTGATAAATAAGACTTGAGTTTTTTTTTCGGTTTTTGTTGATTTGTTTTCCTTTTGAAAAGAAATGACTCCAGTTTTCAAGAACAAACAAATTCTCTTTGTCTTTTCTTTCATTTTTTTTAAAGAAAAAATATCCTTGAATGATCGTCACTGGGTTTTAAATATTTTCTCTTGTACTAGTACACTTTTGTCCATGTTTTCAGCTCCTTTTAAGGATCATTATTATATATGAATATGACATAAAAACAGATTTCCTATTTTTATACCCCCCGCTTGAAAAGCGGGAGGGTATATAGTAATCGTTAATTCCGTCCGTCCGTCCGTCTGTACGTCCGTCCGTCCGTCTGTCTGTCTGTCCGTCCGTCTGTTACGCTTTGGGGTACCCATCTCTTATCCGCAACTCCTCTCATACCACTGAATGAAATTTGATGAAACTTTCACAGAATCTTTATTACATATTGCCATTGTGCACCTCCTATTTTACTTTTTGATCTGACACATATTTTGGGTTTCCCGGCCACAGGAAAACATGGACTTTTTCACCAGTTATAACCATATGGGAGGCGGGGGGTATCATTTAGTGAGCTCAAGCTCACAGTACCTCTAGTATTTTTTTTATTTTATGAAAAGAACGTTACATTTATAGCAAACACACACACACACACACACACACACACACACACACACACACACAAATTAAATTGTATTAACTTAGATAAAACTATACATCGGCAAAGGTTCACTAAAACATACAGATACGCAAACACAAAATAAGCTAGGAGTTTTTTTCATTTATATTATTTCACAATCACATTTTTTTCGCACGAAGAA